ATGGAACCCACACCCTTTATTTAAATATTTTAAATATTTAAAAAAATAAATTAAAAACATATTTATAGTATAAATTGCAAACAAATTTGTCTATAATTGATTACTATTTAAGGAATAATATAGTAACAATTTATCTTATTATAATGCTACTATTGTATATTAACAATAGTCAATAATTGATATATTATAACAACTAGTACAAAATAATAATACAAGTTCTAAAAAAAATTTTTCTTAAAAACAGCTTTGCAAAATGAAATATTAGAATATATTAATATACTTTTTCATTGTCACCTATTAATTCTTATAACAGACAAAGAATTTTTAATATCAAAAAAAATTTGGTTACATGTAACTAAAGAAATTTTTTAATAATAATATTATTATTATTTATTTTATATTTGGTGTTATTTATAATTAGAATAGTATTAATAAAAATATTAGTACCTTTGGGTCCAATTTGCTTACAAAAGTATTTTAATTATTTGCACTATTATAATTATTGAATTATATTAGAGAATCTTTAAATATAATTTTTTGCATAAATTTAATTACCTATATCTTGATATTCTTTATTATATTATAATTAATTAAATACTATTAAGATTAATATATTGTTATAACTTTTTTATTATTAAAAAATTCAACTTTCATAGAAAAAAGATTTTAAGACTAAGTGGAAGAAGTTTATAAGTCAAAAAACCAAAAAATTCTAATATGTATCTTACTGATCATATACATTGGATTTGTTTATATTAATTATTTTTTAAAAACTAGTTTTTTTTGTACAAGTATCTAGTTTCACTATTAGAAAATATAGAAAACTCATTTTTTAATAATATACAACATAATAACTAGCATCTGTTACTTTATAAAACTTCACAATCAATTTGACAAACTATTAATAAAAATACACATGTTGAATTAACTAATCTTGAAATAAAACATAATGATAATTATAAAATTGATTTAAATATGAATAAGTATGAGTCAACATCGAATAACAGTAATAATGATTAGAAATTACAAAGAATAAGGCAATTAAATTAAAAGAAATATTAGAAAAGGTAAATATATATACTATTATTCTATAATATATTATACAGTATAATTATTAATAAATTTAATTATTAGATAATCAAGTTTATTGAAAAATCAGAAATTCTTTCTCAATAAAAAAAATAGTTAAAATGGTTAAGTTCTATTGAAACAAACTTAAATCCTATTAAAAAAATGATGAATGACTTAGAAAAGTTCAAAAATGTCAAAACTCTAAGAAAAACATAGAACAGATGTAATTCTAACACTTTTTATTAGTAATAATTTTTTAAAAAAAATTCAGATAATATATATATATTTATTTGTGTTTTTCAAACATATATTTATTTTATTATGAATGTTAAATTTGTTTTAGTAAAGAATTTAATTAATGCTATTACATGCATTTTATTGAATAAAAAAATTATAATAATTAATAATTGCATACAAAGATATCGGTCAATCAATCATTATCTGAGTACTGATGTTTAATTTTTTAAATTCCGGTATAAAACTGATTTTTTGGGCGGGGCATTCCAGATCATGGGAATTTTTATGTTACATGAGATACAAATTGTAATGCCGATACTAATCTTGCGAACAGGTTATAATTTATATTTTTATATTTATTATTTTTTATTTGAGTTATTTATAAAATATTATTTAAAGTAAGTCATCTAGTTCTATTTATATTAATTCGATACTTATTTAATTGAAATTCAAGCATTAAATTTATTTTCATGTTCATAACAACCTCAGAAATCAGTTCGGATCCAATAAAAATTTTATTAAAAAGATAAAAAAAAAAGTATAAAAAAAAAATACAAAAATAAATTAAATTAACTATCGTGCTGTCCTGAATCTCACTATCGCATTACATCCCGAATCCTGTCCCGAATCTTACTGTAGTGCACCCCGAATCTAACTATTGTACTCTTCCTAAATCTAACTATCATGCTATGACCCAAATCTAACTATTATGCCATGTACTGAATTTAACTATCATACTACGTTCCAAATCTAACTACCATGCTACATTCCGAATATATCATGTTACATCCCGAACTACCGTTCTATGCCCAAATCTGACCATTGCGCTATGCTGAATCTAACTACTGTGCTACATTTCGTTCTAACTATCATGCTCGTCCTGTTCTAACTATAATAGCATGTCCTGTTCAAACTATTGTATATGCCCCATTCTAACTGTTGCGCTATATTCTGTTATAACCATCATGTTATCCCGTTCTAACCATTGTATTACGTCACATTCTAACTATAGTGCTATCTCCTGTTCTAACTATAGTGCTACGTCACATTCTAACTATCGTGCCATATCCCATTCTAACTATTGTACTATGTCTATTCGTAATATTGTGCTATGTCTCTTTATAACTATTATGCTACGTTTCATTCTAACTATTATGCTATGTCCCGCTCTAACTATCGTGCTATAATCTTTTTAATATAAACCTCTAGATAAGATCTCAGTAGGTTTAATAAACTATAAGTTACCTCAAAACTAATTAAAGTATTAAATTAAAAGTTCAGCATACATGTATACTTACTTGTCTTAACGGGCTTTTACTATGATCTTGCACTGAATTGAGACAGCAACGTAACTTTACATTTCATATTAGCTAAAAAAAAAACTGGCTTTTGACGTTCCATTTACTTTTAGCAAAACAGGGATTAAATGGGATTAAAAAAACTAGATGTTCTATGCAATTATTTGAAAACTTGCACTATCTAAAAGATTTTTTTTGTAAGACGTTAAAGCGCAGGATTAAAAGCCAGTACGACATACGTAATAGCCAATCAGATATGAGGATTGACGCATGGATTATTCTAGAGCTTGATTTCCTAATTTAGAATTTGTTGACATTTTCAAAATAAATACTCCTATTGACATTTTCAAAAATAAACACTCCTATTGACATTTTCAAAATAAACACTTCTATAAGAAACACTACTATAAAAAATTTGTTGACATCAAATGTTATAAGAATTTGTTGAAATAACCCGAAAAAATGCAACAAGACGCTGTCAATTATTGCTACAGAAGAACAAAGATTCCAAAATATTTCGAGGTAGTTATATTTTGTTACGTAGTGGGTAAACCTCTTTCCTGTAGATTGCCTTCGTGAGGTCGTCCGAGTTCTTTGTTTCGTACAGTGAAAGAGTGTCATCTTTATGGAACAATGTAACGAAGGCGTTGTCATTTAAGCCATTGCGGTACTTTATAGGCTATTTAACAAGGGTCAAGTGATTAGTTGTCATATGGTCAAAAGAACTGGAAGCGCATCGTGGCCACAGATTTTCTGTGAACGTCCTTCTTTTGATCAGCTGTTGTTTTATAGACTGTTTGGCACGGATGGTTTTTTTGATTCCATCAAGGAATAACAATCTAATGAAGATTTTCTAGATAAAGTCTTCTGATTCCAGAAAAGAAATCGGTTATGTATTTTCTTTATTGAAGGAATCTTACGTTTACTCCGCGACTAATGAAAATATTATTTAATAAATATTTTAAACAATTTATTAATTCTATTTTATTATTTTTTATACGCGTATACATTAGGAGGAAAAAGAAAATGTCAGTCCATCTCCAAATGCCCATCCATTACCAAATACCCGTCCATCTCTAAATGCCAGCCCATATCCAAGCATGGAGATCAAAGAAAACAAAATTTCATCGTCAAATGCCAGCTCGTCTTCAAGTATGGAGGACAAAGAAAATGAAAATCCATCGCCAAATGCCAGTCCATCACCAAGCACCAGCTCATTTTCATCATCAAACACCAGGCACAATTATTATATCGGGCAACACGGTAGATTTTCTTGCATTAAATGAATACCTTAAAATTTTAAACTATTTGAAAAACCATCATATCGAGGAAATGTTTCAGCGTGGAAGGCACCTCTCCAAGCTACTTCGTTGGTCGGTTGTTGACAGTAAACTTTTCCCGTCACAAGTTCTTTTACAGTATCCAGATCTAGTGTTGGCAGGCGAAACCTAAGAGTTTCGTCACAGACGAAAGGCGAAACTAGTTTCGACTTTCGCCAAAAAAAAAAATCAAAATGGCGAAACTGGCGAAAGGTGGCGAAACTGCTAATAGGTGGCAAAATTGGACAAAGGTAGTAAAATTAGTAAAAAATGGTAAAACTAGCAAGAATAGAAAGGTAATTAAAGAAAATTAAGTTTTTTTATATAATCATCAATATTTTTATTTATATATATAGCATAGCGCGATACTTTTATTTATCACGCATCAATTTGATTGGCTATTATCGTTACACGAATTAATAAAAAAATAATTAAAATTTCAAACTTTTTTAAATTTTTACTAATAATATTATAAAAATAGACGGCTCAGTTTTTTCAGAAGTCTTAGAGCTTTGATTTTCGTCAAGTTTTGACTTTCTCTAGGGGTTCAACTTTAGCAGGAGTTTTGCCAGAGTTTCACCGTTTCACCAGAGTTTGCCAGGTTTTGTTTTTCGCAGGGTTTAGTTTCGTCTTTTGCCATTTGTCAAAAATAGTTTCGCCTGCCAACACTATCCAGATTTAAAAAAAACCAGAAATAAATCTTAGTGCAATAATTGCAGCGTTTAAAGACACCAAAAATTGCAAGATGCAATTTTTATCATAAACGATTATTAAAGGAAGGTACGGTAGAGACAGTGCAGCCAGTTATCATAGGTACAATGCAACGTTGGTTAGGTATAGAACTTACTAATTTTGCTATTGATATACCAACAGCTTTGTTAGCATTAACCTTTGTTTTGCTCTTTGTGCCCTCTCCAGCTTGTCCTGGTGGTCATCTTTCTGAAAACTATTATAAGTCTGAGTTATGGGCCAAAGTTCTATTTGATTCTTTTACTCTTGCAAATAATTTTAACCCAATTTGGGAATTTCACCATCAAATACCCGGCAACAGCGGAAGAGATCTTTACGATCCGACTTTGCATGTGCCGTTATCTTTTTTTTCTCAAAAGAACATCATTTTTTTTTATCTTAGAGTTTGAAGTCGGAGGTGTGCAAGTGCACAAGGATTTCGCTGTTATCGTCGCCGAAGCCGCCCATACCCTGAACCGCATACTTTCAACACGTATGTCTTCAAAAAACGTATTATTAATTAAAATTCATGTTGCATTAGTTAATAATGCACATATACAAAAATGTGATCCAATTTTATATACCTATGACTAGTGTTACGGCCTAAACCGAAACTTTCGGCCAGGCGAAACTTCCGAAACCTAGTTTCGCCCAAGGTGCCAAGTCCGAAAATGGGCGAAATGTCCGAAACTGGGCAAAACTAGGCGAAACTAGATCTTATCTCTATTAAAATTGACATATCACGTGACGCAGACTTCGATATGACGATTTTTTAAAAGTCACGTAACTGCTGCGCTTAAAATCGAAAATCTTTAAAATATACCCGGGGTAGAGGTTATTATCCTGTGTCTCAATTTTAGTTTTTTAGGGTTAGGGTTAGTTGGCATGTGATGACTATTTAAATTTAATTTATTTATTTTTGGTCATAGGTTAAGAGCCTATACCCCGGGTATATTTTAAGGACGCACTTAAAATCGACTAATGGAAAATTTAAAAGTCACGTGACCGCCTCACTTAAAATCGACCAATGGAATTTCTAAAGTCACATGACCGCTGCACCTGAAATTGACCAATCGAATTTCTAAAAATTCTATCGGTCGATTTTAAGTGCAGTGGTCACGTGCCTTTTAAAAATTTTCGTATCAAAGTCTGCGTCACGTGATATGTTAATTTTGATAGAGATAAGATCAAGTTTCGCCCAGTTTCGGACGTTTCGGATGTTTCGTCCAGTTTCGGATTTTGGGCGAAACCGAAACTCAAAATCCGAAACGTTTCGGACTTCGGTAAAGGGTTTAGACCGTAACACTACCTATGACCAAGACGTTAAAACATTTGATTTACAGACGGTAGAGGCCTGCGTTGGGTCCCGCAGCCCGGCCCGGCCTGAAGCAAAATTTTATAATTGCGGGTCGGGCCGGGCCGGGCCTAAAAAAAATTTTTAACCCTAATTGCGGGCCGGGCCGGGCCTCAAAAATAGGCAATTTGCAGGCCTCTAACAGACGGGTAATACCAGGATTGACATAGAAAATATACTTAATTTAATTGTATATTTTTGAGGGAAATTGTTTGTAACGATGGATTTTATTTAAGAGAATTTATTAATAGGAAGGATTTGGTAAGAAAATGGAAGCTTTATTCTAGATTGCCAATTCTTCCTTCTGAGGCAGAAAAATCTTGAAATTCAAATGCTAATTTTACACCGAAAATCAAAAGGACTAGGTATACCTATTCTTTATGATGTATCGTGTACTTTGAATAATCATGATACATGTATTATATTAAGAGATACATTTAGAGAAATCTGACTGTATATACTCCATTATTAACTGCTTAATTGATTTTCTCAATGAAATAAAATCACATTAATTCAGTCGTTGAATATAAAATCATTTATTAATCTGTGTACCATAACTCTTAGTTTATTAAAAAAAAAAAACAATAATTTCTTATTAAAAAAAAGTAAACAAAATTCAGATCACTGTTATAAGCTTATTATATGCTAAACAATATTCAATGAAGATATTCATTTAATTTTTTGACAAATATTCGGATTTTAAAAAATTGAATAAAATACACGGATTTTTATTTTTTGATCAGTGTACCACGCTTGACGCTAACAGGCGGACTCTGAGAACGCGAATAGACGCTTCCAGATCCATGATCACTTGTTGCACTAGTTGAACTGGCCGCGCTCAGCCGTCTCCTGGATTGATCTGCCTGCAGTGACCCAGAAGTTCCAGTATTAACATTTACATTTGCACCCCCACGTTGATCAGTGGAACCACTATTGTTCTTATTGGATATTGATGTTGCAGATTGCGACAAATTACTGCTGCTTGCTGGAAGCGATGTACGATCGCCACGAATACGACGACTTCGAGTAGGTTGACTAATAGAACCAGAGTTCTGAGCTACAAATTAATTAATTAATGCGGCAATAAAGTGACAATAATAATAAACCAGATAAGAGTTAGATTTATGAACATGAATGAGATATAACACTTAATAAATATGTGTTTTATATATCACCTTGTTTTCTGGTTTTCTCGTGCTTTGCTTGCACTGTCCGAAAATGATTTAATAAATCATGAAACTTAATGCCATCATCCTTTGCGTATGATTTTGACGTTCCCCGTTTAATATCAATTTGCGGCGCACTAAAGTTTTTATAAACATTTAAATTAAATAAGGAAAGGTAAATATAATAATTCAAAACCACATTTACCTTCTTGGAATCAAATGTAAAAATCCCATCGACGAAACACTAGTCAGTCGATTTTTTAGACTGGCAAACGCACTACTTTGTGGCAAAAGCATTAACAACCCATAAAGGCATTTAAAAAGATATGGATATTTGTCTGGCTCGAGAAGTTGTAAGCGTAAATCTGTTGTCATTAAAAGGTATTACTATATAAGGTCATAATTATGTACATATGTAGCATTAAATATATAATAATATTATACATGTAAAGACTGGCGACTCAAGTAACTGGACTAGTTTATCTATCTGAATTAGCAAGTTAACGGTGATATCTAAATCAGCACTAGCAAAAAAAAAACAAAAATCTGTTAGGTATACAACACAGAAAATAAAATAAAACTGTTACAAAGGATTTCAGAACAAATAGCACATACAAACTCTGCAATAGATTAGCTGCATGTTCGTATGCTTGTGCCAATAAACAAAGCGAAAATGTAGCCACCGGATTATGGCACCAAGACTTGTATAAAATTGTAAATAACGTTTGACCATCTCTTGTTTCAAGACTTTTGAGTCTCTTTCGTAGATCCGAAAGCTCGGGGGAAGTAATGAGAATGCTATTAAGGTTTTGAACCATGCTGGAAGCAAATTCAATATCCTACAACGTTGTAGAATCGAAAAAAATCATCAGATTAACTGCTCCCAACGAATGACAGAAATTAATAACATATTCAGATACATTTATCATACCTCCTCTTTCTCAAGAATTTCCGCAAAGCTACAGTATATGCGTTCTGAATCAAGGCTTACACATAGATTACGAATGATTAGGCTACCTCTTGATTCAAGCAGTTTCCGATCTGTACTAAATGATTTTAATAAATCCCCCATAAAACGTTTAAAATTTTCATCTTCAAAACTTGATGACAGCTGGGCGAGAAGCTGAAGATCTCGTTTAACAACCTAATTTAAAATTTATTAGTATCGCATAAAAAAATATAAATTTTACGAGAAATAAATTGAATTTACTTCTTCACATGGATCTGAAAGAATCTTTAATAAAACAGAGAAAGTACCATCATCGATTGCAAGAATCTACATATTTTATAAACGCCATAAATGATTACTAAGCATTTTAAGAGACCGGATTATAATGTTATTAATCCATTATTACAAACCTTCTTTGGCGATTTTTTATGAAGCATTAAGAGCCAGTCTAAACTTGCAACTCTAGTTTCCTCATGTACATTTGAAAATTGTCGTACTAAAGACTCAACCGTAGCTTGATAATCGAAGGGATCCGCTTGCTCATCTATCGAAGGAAGCGAATTGGCTGGATAAGCACTCCCGTTAGGTGCTGATGGTAATATAGCCAGTGAATATGGTGGCGGCTGTGGTGATGGCATATAATTAGTTGGAGTTTCGAGAATAATCTTGTGAAGGTTTTTATTTAATTCCACTGCACTATTTCGAATATGTAAATATATTCGTTAAGAATAAATTCGTAAACAGTACAAAAGAGAATAATATCATTCTATGTAAATTATATGAAAGGATATTTTGAACGGAATGCGCCAATGAAGGCAATACAGCACTTATCAGCTGTGGTGTAAAAGAAATTATCACTTCTTTGGCGATATGTATGAATTCATTTATCCATTTCAATGCTGTAGCTTGAATCTCTTCCTCTAAAAAAAAATTATTTTAACTATTTGATTAATGTAATAGTAAAATAAATTAATTTAAACGATAGTGAATACTCTACCTGAAGAACATAAATGATCCATAAAAATTTGAACAATTCTGTCATAATTAATTATAACACCTTGACCTGGCACCCATGAACCTTTTCCCCTTCCTTCAGTTTCACTTATTGAGATAGCGTCCCAACTAATGACCCCATCTGTCGAATTAGGACCCAATGTTATATCGTCACTATCGCCCTTAGTACTCTCATCTTTTACACTCTCACCAGCATCACTAGCATTCTCAGATGAAACGACCATTTTACGTTGTTGTTCAACAAAATAACTCTTCATTGCTTGCTGTTTTTGATGTTCCTTAACTTCGAATGCTTCACGTATTTCAGCCAAAAAATTCGCTAGTATAGAAGACGTAGCGTTTCTTATGTCCTTATTTGGATCGCTTAAAAATCGTAATAGACCATCCAAAAAATCAGGCAAAAATGACACAAGTTCAAGATCTGGAATTGAATCTAGCACAGTAATCCACGATACCAAAAAGTTTCGTGTGAAAGGATTTTTAGCGTGAATGCGCTCGGCGAGAAGTGGAATAAAGCGAGGTAAAGAGAAGGCAGTAGTTCGTGGCATTGAAACAGGCTCCGTTGAATCATCTTGTGACATAGATGCAAGAACCAAAGCGGATACATATGTAGTAGATTGTTCAGCAACGATATCCTTAATTAATCTATCCAAAAGTTCGGTTCCATTTTTGACAGAAACTTCGGAATCAGCAGCCAGCTATATTAATTCATTCATCGCATTAAATGTTGATGTAATAAGCTGAGAGGTTAATTTATTTTTAGATACTTTATGAAGGTATCTTAAAAAATTGGATTCATGAAAATCGGTTACCTTACTCATCGCATCAAACACTTCGTTAAAATAACGTAATATTTCACCTTTAGACACCTTAGCAATATTATACATGCTTTCACAAGCATAATATCTTACGCGTGAATCTTGATCAGCAAAACAAGCAAGGACAGGTGGAACAATCTCGTCTAAATACGCAGCCACGTTCTAAATAATAAAAATTTTTATTCAGTATAAGTCAGCAGCAATAATGTAATTTCGTATGGTTACTTACTGGACCCAACGCTATTGACGCGGCAGCCAAGCCTATCAGACCTCCATTACGTGAATTTGCTTGTTGTGAACATGCAAAATCAGAAACAAGCTTGTTAAGAATAGCCTTGATTTTGTCGGGTTCTTTATTAGTGATGTATTCCCGAATTAGTCTAAAGTTAGGAAATGAAAGCTGTCAGAAAGGAACTATTGCTATATTTTTAGAGGGCTTTATTTTGAGTCACAAATTTAGGAATAGAATTGCTTTGCTTGAAACCAAGATACTTACTTTTCCACTTCTAGTGCTGCAGCCTTTCGCTTCTCATAAACCCTATCGTTAAGTCCACGAATTATTTGGGCGTTTAAAGCGGAACTATCCGCCATTATGATTATTTTACAAGTGTTTTCAGCGAAGAATAGTTCACTTTAGATCAGTTATTTGATATTGTTGTTGATGGACAAGATTGATGGCAAAACCTTGCGTTACAAAGGAAATTTGTGTTACATACAAGGCTTTGGTCAATTAAAAAATTATTGCTATTTAGGGTTTTATTTTTTTTTATCTCTAAGTGTTATTGATATCGATATGTTGAATATTAATTGCTAATTTACTAGAAGGTTCTAAATAAAAAAAGCCTGAAGTTGCTGTAGACTAAAGGTAAGACTAAATAAATCATATGAATTACTGCTCTTTTATCAGATGATCAGGACAAGTTGTAGCTTATTTCTGTATTTAGCTCTATAGCGATAGCATATGTTTAACCTAATTTAATCCAGAGTTTGGAAACATAAAAATAGTAATGGCTATAATATTAGAATTGAGGGATAAAATTACTGTAGAGGTAGTATCCATTGTGGAATATTAGGTAGTCATCCACGTTAAATCTATGTCCTCTAAGCAATATTCTTCGAATTTACAAATCTTGTGTAACTAATCTAATTCGCTTTTAGTTTCGTAAATTAATTTTACATGTACTGTACATTTAAATCAAATGATGCAATAATACTGGCCAAGCTTTCGTAAATCTGGTACTTTATGTATAACGTAATGAAAATTACATGAAATTTAATTTTCTGAAACTTACGTAATGTAATATTGTAATTTATGTAACTCAACCTAAACTCAACCCTAAATTGCTTAAAAACTTGTTTCATAATTCCGGGCTGATTATGTTGGTTATGGGCCCTACTAGGGTTGGCAAGTTCATGTGAGAGCCTCAACTTAGTGTATTCTCATGTTGATCTTTCACAATTACAAATCAAGGTCTAAATTAAATTGCGAGAAATACGTACCAAGTTTTTAGCTTAACGTTATATAAATATAATTTTCTTTTAACAGTTAAATGTGTTAATACTGCATCTATTCTCTTACCATATTGTTACGAAATAACATGCAGAAGTGAAATTATGAATTTTGGCCTAAATTAAGCTTAATTTGGACCATTATTCTAAATAACGCCATGCCCGACTATACATCAATTTTTAAGAATATAAATAAGTTTTTGCAGTTCGATTAATAAATAATAACCTTATTAAAGATGATACATTTTTATAAATAGTTTTGACACAAGATAAGCTTGTTTGTTTAGAGCCAAATGAATATTGTAAATATTATAAAATGCTTATAGAGTATATAAAGATAGGGTATTTTTAGCATTTATATAATAGTAAATACAATAAATATAATAGAATGATTTTTATAAAGTAGAACTAAAAATTATAAAATAATTAAATAAAAAGCAAAGATTATATAAAGTTTTTGATAGATTACTATTTTTAATTTTTTTTTGATGTTAAAATAATTTCTTAGCTATTTAAATGAAAAAGAGTTTACTATTTTAGTATAAGTATGTCTATTTGACTTTAACTTGTTTTTTTTTTTTTTTTTTTTTTTTTTTTTTTAACCTTAGGCAGTTACGCTAGTACTTTATTAAGATTCTAGAAACTATA